GGCTCAGTGGGGTTGAGCAAGGGAGGAAAGGGGTCTGGGACACCCTAAGGTTAATTCATTCCCATTGGTTGTTTTAGGCACACACACACACACACACACACACACACACACACACATGAAAGGAAGCTGCTGGTCTCGGAAGGGTCAGCTTGGATGGATGATACAGGAAAGGACCACGCCCCAGCAGGGCCAAGCAGAGGCAGCACCCCACATGCCAAGTCCCCAGAAGCAGCAGCCCTCCAGCCACCAGGGAGAGCAGTCACAGAAGCCTGACTTAGGCGCCAAGCAACAGGGAAGCAAGGACAGGCACAGCAAGCCCCCACTTCACATTTGCATCCAGAGATCAAGCTGTGCAGAGGGTAGGGAACTGGAACAGACACCTCTCTGCTTTAGGAAGACCCATGGGGCCGCTGCCTCCAAGGCCAGGTGCTGGGCTCAAAGCCTGGAAGGGGTCCCCCACCTCTTGTCTTAGGGCTCACTGTGTCTCCCAGGCCCTCAGTGAGCAGACGTGGAATGTTCCCAGGTGAGGCTCCCCAGAGCGCCACAACCCTGCTGAGGGTGGCACTTCCTGATCAATATTGGTCTCTCCACCGAGAGCGGGGCCCCTGACAGCCTTGTTCGGAGCCACATCAGCAGCCTCTGTGTGCAAGTCACGCTGCCATGCAAAGAAACTCAGGGGAGGGCGGCAGTTACTATTCTTGATGGGCAGAACAGGGAAGGAAATGAACAGAAGCTGGGAGAAAGAGATGGAGGGAGAGGCAGAGCAGTACAGAAATGGGAAGAAATTTTTCCAAGCAGAGGGAACCATAGGTGCAAAGGTCCTGAGGCAGCAGCGTGCTTGGTGTACTCAAGGTACAGCAAGCAATCAGCGTGGCCAAAAGAGAAACAGCCAGGGGTGTGGTGGAGGGAGAGGAAAGCGGACCAGGAGAAGATGGCCTCGGGACTGCTGGTGGAGCAATCACACTACTGGACCAGCGATGGCTTGGAAGGGAGTAAGGACAGTCAGATCAGCGAGATGACTGCAGTACATAAACCAGGCTCCGGAAAAGGCGCCCAGCAGTGGAGATGAGGTGGCTAGAGCCCCCCTGGGTGTTAAGGCAGAGATGGGGTCAGAAAGACAGCGGCCCCCAGGCTGCCTCCAGGGGGCGGAGCTGTGCAACCGGAAGAGGGAAGTTGCCATTCACCGTGTGAGGAAGAACATGGAACAGGTCCAGGGGTGGGAAGCATGGCGTTCCCACTTGGGGCATGCAGAGCAAGCAGCCCCCGCTGGAAACCGCCAGTCTGTAGCTGGAGTCTGCTGTCACAAGACAGGGAGGAGCTGCTACAGGGGTGAATGTGGGGAAATGTGGAGACAGAAGACAGGGTCTCCCAGGGGGGTGGGAGGGGGCGCACGCAGCTCAGGACTCAACAGATGGTGTGCAAGAGGCGCAGAGAAGTAAAAGGTCATGTGGTGTGGTGTCCCTGGTCACAGAACGGCACAGTCATGGGAAGCGCACCAGTTTTGATATCAGCTGCTGAACCGGAGCCTCATCTACCAGCCATACAACCCCGTGCGGGCCGTGTCTCCTGTCGGTGTACCTCAGCTTCCCCATCTGTCCCACAGGATAGTGGTGGTAGCACTGTGCTTGCCTCCGTGGATGTGGGGGGAACCAAAAAGCCTAGTTTAGTGCATGACGGGTTGTGAGCACTCAGAGCCAGAGGGCTGCAGCTGGGGGCCCCCAGGAGGCCCCCCATTCCAAGACCACCATCACAGATGCATCCTGCAGCCAGCTCACTCACTTCCCAGGAAGAACATCTGCTTCACTGCAGCACCGCTGGAGCCTGACCTCTCCTCCCACCCCAAATTCGTGCAGAGCATCAAATTTCTCCCTGGTGCAAAGGAGAAAACAGAGGGACTTTGGGGTAATAAAAAGGTGCCCCATAAAATACCCGCATCACAGACAGCATTAGTCCCAACCTCTCATCCAGATCTTTTTTTTTTTTTTTTTTTTTGGCGGAACCAGGGATTGAACTCAGGCCCTTGCGCTTGCCAGGGAAGTGCTTATTCTACTGAGCCATCTCCCTGGCCCCTCTCTCCTCCAGATCTTCTGATCAACATCATGATAAAGCCTGTGTTGAAGCTGCTTCTTCTTCTTCTTCTTCTTCTTTTTTTAATGTATTTAGTATAGGGTCTTGCTACATAGATCAGACTCATAGTGATCTTCCTGTTTTCAGCCTCCCAAGAACTGGGATTACAGGCATGCGCCACCATATCCAGTCTCAGTTGCTGTCTCAGTGTTTCCCGGGGTGCGGGGGGAGCCGACACAGCACACCGGGTACCCGGTCCCTAAGCTGAGCTATCTGGCCAGCCTGAGGCTACCTTCTTAACACTCACTAACACTTAAAGAGAAACCAAGTCTTGGGCTCAGTCACATGGGCCACACTGAAAAGTCATCCTTCACGCTGCTGGAATTTCTCCCAAATTATATATGCAATCACTTCCTCCCTTTGGCAAGAGACACCAACTTTCCATTTCCAGAAGGAATATGAAATTTTCTTTCTAAATACATTTCCAGAAATAAAAAGATAAGTGAGTCAGCCACGGTGGCACACGCCTGTAATCCCAGCACCTGGGAGGCTGAGACAGGAGGATCCCCATGAGTTCAAGGCTAGCCTGGGCTTCATAAGCCAGTTTAAGGCCAGTCTGCACTACATGTCAAGACCCTGCCTCAAAAAAACAAATAAACAACAACAACAAAAAGATAACTGAGAAAACTTTTTTAATGCCAAATATGTAAGAATTAAGTGGATTGAGGAAGGGGCGGAAGTAGAAGAGATTGGAAGGCAGATACCTCCCCCTCCCCACAGCCTGAATGCCTAAAGATGCCAAGAATGCTGGGATTTAGGGGTATAGCTCTTGGAAGGTGTAGGCTTGGCATGTGCAAAGCCCTGGGTTTGATCCCCAGGGCTAAAATATTAATAAACCACCCTGAAAAAAACAAAAAACCAGGGGACTCCCATTAACACACAATGCAAGAGAGAAACCTCCACTCTGTGGAAGCGTTGCTCATGAACCCCTCACAGGGACTCATTCACTTCCTGGTCATCCTGAGCAAAGTGCTCTTTTATATCAGAACATTCACGCAGGACAGAATCCTGTGCTGTGTCATCTCTTGTTCTTCAGTCAGCTTAAGGAAAAAAACAAGGAAGTCACGAAAAACTGAAACAAACTGGGAGTGCCTTATGGGGCAGGGATATCTCACAGAACATCGGGAATAAAATAAACCTTTATTAACATAAAAAAAAAAGATAGACGTGGTGGTGCGTGCCTGTGATCCCAAAACTCAGGAGGTTGAGGTAGGAGGATCACCATGTATTCAAGGCCGGCCTGGGCTACAAACTGAGGTCAAGGCCAGTCTGAGCTGTATAGTGAGACCCTGCCTCAAAACAAATAAATCAAAGAGCCCAGGAAAGCAAGTGGATGACCCAGAGCAGCCATCCTGCTCTGAAACAGCAAGTCCAGGGCATAGCCACCTGCTAGAACCCAAGAATGTTCTGGTGAGCACAGGCTGGGAGCCAGGTTGGGGCTGCAGCCAGGACCCTTGTCCACCCAGCCTCCTGGCTAAGGGGCCAGGTGCTGCTCTGGGCCTCCCTGCTGAATGCCACAGCCAAATCCCCAAAGTCTCCGTGATTCCCAAAGCACCCACCACCATTCAAGAGCCTCCTCCACGATCACTCTGGTGACCTTTCCCAAGGCCTTACACTAGGCGACCCAGGTCACTGGCGCTCAGACCTGGTCAGTCCCCATGACCTTCCCTCACAGGGCCAGAGTATGGTATGGCTTGGGTGGCAAGAGCGGCCACTCCACACATACAGCGTGCAGGGCCTCACCTGGAGCAGCTTCCCATTCCTGAGTGACTACTGAGCAACGACTGTATGCCTGGGGACCCAAACCGACCTAGAACAATGCAGCCCCGTGAAGCTTATATTCAAGTCGGAGCTAGGATGACTAAGTTCACAAAGAAACGTCCGGGGAAATAAGAGGGTGGGACAGGCCAATGGAGCTGCACACAGGGCAGCCAGGGCCGCCTCGGCAATAAGGGAGGCTGGCAAGGAGCCAGGGGGGAGAGCATTCCAGGCAGGGGGCACAGCCAATGCCAGGACCTTGGCACACAAGCAAGCCTGGTGTGCCACAACTGTCTCAAGGGACCCGAGGCTGGAATGGAACAAGAGGAGGGAAGAGCAGCAAGCCAGAGAGGCTCCTGGCGCCACACCGGGAGGTGGGTTTTCTCCTTATTTTGAGTACAGTGAGGGTTTGTGGCAAGGGAGTAGTAACATGGTGGGAGGGGGGTTGTTTTGGCTTTGTTTTGTTTTTCAACTGCTCTGACTCCTGCACAGAAAACGGACATTAGTGGTCTCCAACGAAAGCCAAGGAGCCTGCAGAAGTCTATCAAAGGCTGACAAATGGCTATTATGGCTTGGAGGAGGGAGGTGGCTGTGTCAAGGGTGCCTGATTAGGACGCAGAAGCAAAAGGCTTCCAGGATGAGTGGCAGAAGCGAGGGAGAGAGCTCTTCCCAAGTTCCTGCATGGGACGCTGAGATGGCCTCACGCCCAAAGGAAACACCAGGAAGGAGACTGGGACAGGCTGGGCCATCCTAACTTCTCTGTCACACTTGATATCTTCCTGATTTGGAGAACTGTCCCATGACCAGTCAGGCATTCAGTCCGGCTCAGCAGCAGGACCTCTTTGCTAAGAGGCAGGGCCCCGACTGCTGCTCACCATCCGCATCCCACAGCCCGGGTCTCCCAGCGCGCCCCGGTTACCTGCAATGTCTCCAAGGCCTGGCCCGCTGTGCCGGTGCTGAGGGAGGCCACCTGCACAGCCTGCTTGCGCGCAGCCAGCAAAATCCTGCAGTAGGTGAAGCAGATGGCCCCCGAGGGCAGGAAGAAGGTGAGGCCCGACGCCACAAGGACGAAAGGCAGGCTGGCTAACAGGCGGCATTCGCCCGGGGCGGGTGCCCGAGCGTAGCCCAGTTGATGCCAGCCAAGCAGCACGGGCAGGAATGAGGCCAGAGCGGCGAGGCTCCAGGCGCCCAGGACGAGCGCCAGGGCACGAGAGGGCGTCATGCGTAGCTTGTAGCGCAGCGGCGATAGGATGAGCAGGTAGCGGTCCAGGCTGATGAGGCAGAGGTTGAGGATAGACGCGCTGCAGCACATCACGTCGAAGGCGGCCCAGAGCAGGCAGAGGCTGCGCGCCAGCACCCAGCGCCCGTACAGCACGTTCAGCATGGCGGGCGGCATCACCACCAGCCCCACCATCAGGTCCGACGTGAAGAGCGACACCAGGAAGAAGTTAGACGTGTTGCGCAGCGCCGGCTGCGTGCAGATGAGCGCGATGAGCAGCAAGTTGGCCGCCGCCGTGAGCGTGATGACCACGCACAGCGCGGCCGCCACCCAGCCGCTGCCCCCTGGCGCCGGCGGCGGCTCCGATCCCCACGCTGGGGCGCTGTGGTTGGCAGGACCGGGCTCAGGGACCATGAGGACAGAGGATGAGGGCCTGGGACGCGATAGGGAAGGAGGGGAGCAACTGAGCCACCGCAGGAGGGAAGCCGATGGGCGTCGACGGTCGGA